GACTGGCGTTACGGTCCTGGGGTCCCCGTGCACGTACTGTTCGATTCAGGTCAGTCGACGACCCACGCGGGCACACCACTGAGTGGTGTTAAGGTCCTGGAATCCCCGGGTTGGGCACTCCAGAAAGTCTCACGGTAGTCTTTGGGGTAGGGCACGCCAGGAAGTCTCACTGTAAACCTGAACAGGAACTTGCGGACCTTAAACCCTACAAGTTTGCCCAACCCCAAAACCCAAACGGAGATGTCGGTTGCCACCGCACTACACCTTGAATAGATATGCTGGTTGCCGAAACCCAGACCCTGAACCGGCATGATGGTTGCCAAACCTTGCACCCTACTGGATTGCTGGTTACCAAACCCTAAACCACGGAAGGAGAGGTTGGTTGCCAAACTCTTTACCCTAAAAGAAGATGTTGCTGCCAAGGCTTGGCGGGCTGAGGGGTTTTGGGGTGATCGGGCGAACTCGTAATCAACATCTCGCTTTAGGGTTTAGAGCTTAGAGTTTGGCAACCAACATCTCTGCTTAGGGGTTTAGGTTTAGGGTCTGGCAACCTGCATTTCCGCTTGAGGTTGACAGTAGGGCGGCTGAAGCCAACCCAAGCCATTTTGAAGGTTGCCTTCCTGAAGCTGTAAGCCAAGCCAAGCCGAGCCACACCAAGCCCCGAATGCTACATGGACCCCATGCCGATGGCAATACTGGCTTGGTCGGATGGGGTTCTGTTCTGTTGCATATCTGGCAGGGGTCTATGTGTGTCTAGGACCGAGGACCCTATACCGACTTGAGTAGATGTCCGTGCCAAGAGGTCCTAGTTCGGAAGAAGGCCCATGCCAGTGCGAGCAGGGGCTCTGCGGCCGGGTAAGGAACTCTAGCCGACAAAGGGTAGGTACGAGTAGCCACTCCGAACAGGGGTCTACTCCTGGCATAGCAGTGTAGCTCGGAACCGACAATCAGGCATGTCGGCCTTGGAGTAGGGCCGGTACAGGGTCGGCGTACAGGGTCTTTAGATGTCTACAGGAAATGGGTAGGCGGCTGTGCTTTCGGAACCTTGTTCGGTGGAGGGGATTTGTCTGTCTCAGAGTCCAGTTTGCGGCTGGGCTTTCCTCAGACCCAATGCACGCTTGGGCGCGGTGAAGGGGTTGATGCGAAAGGAAGTCTGCCCCACGGTCCGCCTAGTGTGAAGCTGATTAGATTGGGTATCTGCGGGGGCTGGACAAGTGGGGAGCGAGGCAAGTGAGGCAAACATAGTAAGACATAGTAAGTCTTAGTAAGTGTATCCAGAGGCCGGTCCCAGGGCGCCTTCCTTTCGCACAGGGCAGCGAGGAGCTCGTCACGGCGCCATCTGGCAACAGTCTCCCCGAGGGCAGCATGAAGCTCCTGGCGGGTCCGAACTCAACTTGGAACCCATCACCATGGACACCTCTTCTTCCTTCCTCGATCTAGCTTCGAGACGCTGTCACTAGCTAGTCACGAGCGGATTCAACAGCCTCCGGCATCCTCCGATGCAGTTGCTCTACAATCGCCAGCATGCGGCAAGTGAAGCCGTCGTGGCTCAGGGTAGCATGGATACATTTGGCGACTATGGCGGATGCGTGGCCTCGCGCCTGCGTTGGAAGCCTTATCTGTGCCGAAGGATGCTCAATGTGCGGTGGGGGAGGAGGGAAAAGCCCCTCTCCCAGCCTTCCGATTGATCACCCGGTCCACATTGCGAAGGTAGCGAGGGTCGGCCGCAAGATCTGGACGTCGCAGAACCTAACCCCCAAGCCAATGTGCATGGTGCTCCAGACAGTGTAGGTAAGGCGACTAATAACGCGCACTTGTGGATGTAGACTCCGCAAGCATGCACCACTCAACAGGCAGTCTATGGCGGCGACTTCGCACAAGGCAGTGAATTGCGTGTCAGTTCCAACCTGAGCAGTGCGATCAACCATACGATGGTAGAAGGCAGGTCAGAATGATGGTTAGGCCAGGCCAGCTGAGCTCGAGTCTGCGAGGACCAGCGCTTCGCCGTCCTGCCAGGGTCTCATTCTGACGTGCTATCTCTCCTCCAGCCGGAAATCTTCATCCTGGTCGGAGAAAGCTGTCCCATAAGGACAGATTGACGGATGATCCTGAGCGTGGATCAGTACTCCACCTCAAGCTTGCGCCAAGAGAAGAACACTAATTTACACCACGGCACTGAACCCATCCTTTGCGGCACCTCCCCAGTAATCAGGTAGCCCGTGGCCTCGAATGCAAGGTACAAAGCATCCCATTGCACATGAGGGGCAGCCCAGTCAGCCCAGTCTCTGGCCTGATTGGCCAAAGAGGCAACGGCCGCCGCCATGAGAGAGACGTGCACGTGCGCACCTTGACACAAGCAGTCTAAACACAGCTTGGCTCTGGCGCACAGGTCAGGAACTGCACAACGAGCTGCAAAGCAGACAAGCAGCCTTCTCCAAAGCGTTCTCGATTGAACAATGCTAGGAGTATAGCCTGCGCTCGTGGTAGCAACAATAGTCAAGCTCAGCTTTTCCAACAACGAGCCCTGCGCAGGGCTTGCATCCGAATGCGTTCGGAGCCAAACTCCCAACTAATGAGCTGGAAGTCCCGACTGTCCCGACTCCACCTCCTTGAGCTGATGCGCTGCCAGCAAATCCACGAGAGCCACAGGCATCTTCGTGGGACTTCCTCCCTCGGTGTTCCACATGCAACAATTCACAGATTGTGGACTGGTGCGATATACTATGTTCTCGTGAGATCTCTCGTGTGTGACACCATCAGCACTTTACTCAGTGGACAGGGATCGATCTCTCTCACCCATGGACCTTCCGTGTTTCGGCTCGTTGTGGTTTGTGTACTGCATACCAATGCACCTACCAATGCATCCGAGTTAGTTGGGCTTGGCCAGGCGAATATCACACATACACAAAATGTTGTACTGCTTGCCAACATGCATCAACATCATCAACTTTACTCGCTTTAACTTAAAGTAGTAAAATCTTCGTTAGAGCTGAGGCTGTCTCAGCGTGCTAACATCTACTTAGTTGCAAGTGGAGCCTCGCATCATCTGCTGCAGACTAAACGCTATCACTCTTGCATCTCATTCCCGCTTGCATCTTCTTGTGTTTCGGTATCGTTTTCGACAGTCAATGACATGCCCATGGACAATTCCACCGTCTAAAGAGCAAGCTCCAGCGCTATCCACCCGGCAAGTTGCGCGTGAAGGATAACGGGCGGGCACACATTGGACATGCTCTTGCAAGATAATTACCCACAGCGCTGTTCACAAAGGCCAGCCATGCTCAAGATACAGCCCTTTATACATCCCCTTTCCTGCCAGCATTAACAGACACTGCGCGGCAGGTTTGCCCAGCCTGCCACTGCATTGCTGAGCCAATTGCGAACAGGCCGAGCTGTGCTTTTTATTCTGTTTCAATCCCTTGGACGCAAAAAACCCTTCCGCGCAACCCTTCCGCCACTGCTTCCGCATCGAAATGTTGGCACGCTTCTGAGTCTCTGCCCTTCTGCGGACCGTTTTGAAAGTGACCCTTCCGCAAGAGCAAAACCCCTCTTGACGTGTTGCGCCCCCTCCTGTCTGTTCTACGGGAGCAACCCTATACTGCAAATGTATTCTCTTCGGACACGGTGGCTTGCGTAGTTGTTGCTTCCGTGCCCTTCCGCAGGCAGTGTCCCAGAGAGACAGAATGTGGCTCTTTCTGTCTTATCCGAGTCCTGTCCCGTCCAAATTGTTCTAACTACGTGTGCTGTCAGCATAAAGATGCGTAACGCCACCTTCTGTGAGAGCTGCCGACATTTGAGGAATGTTCGCGGCGAAGTACAGCACTCGTCTAGCTTGATACTGCCACTTCAAGCAGAGAAGCCTACCAAAGCCAGGATAGAATTGAAGCCAGGTGACCTGGTGTGCAGCAGCGCCATTCATGAAAGTGAAGCCCGACTCCGCCTTACAAGGGCCAAGTCGGTACTGCGGAATTCAGCCCGGCTACGGTGCCGCCTTAGGACAGGACCTGGATGACAGCATCGTAGCCAGTGCGTGGATCGTTCAGACCATAACCTGTTATCTGGGCCTGTCAGGGCGCCTTAAACAGGAAAGCTGACCAAGAATCCAGACGGGACAGTGAGGCGAGAAGGGGGACTGCATGCGAAGAACTCATCCTCAAATCTGTCTTTGCCTAGCTTGTAGCATGCGCACTCGATGATGCCGAGCGTCATAGATGAGACGCGGTGCCTCGGCAATGCAGCAAGCGGTAGCGGAACCGCCTGGGCACATGTACACGCCGTGCCTGGGCACGCAGCTGCGCAGCGTCCAGACCGAGCTTGACATCATCCCCGGGCTTGTATGAGGCAATGACCTGGACATGCTCAGAAAGCAAAGAAGACATCACCTCATCTGCCCATTGAAGCACACGCACATCACGAGCCCTGACGTGGTCCGGACAGGCCAACAAAGAAGCACCACATCAAGACGAGCTATCGTTCCGAAACCACCGTGTTCGCTGCATTTTCTCCTCGTCGATGCCCCATTTTGTAGGCAATGACCAGGCGCAATACGCTGGAGTATTACTCAGCTTTTTTGGCTTGCAAGACCGAATCTTGAAAGGCTGTCATGCTTACCCATGTGAGAGTTGCTCTCTCCATACGTCTGAAAACACAAGCCCAGCACTCTGTCATTGAACACTCTCCCTGATGTCTCCTAGTTTGAAATCTTATCTGCTCCGTCTCAGCGGGTGAGGACAATGTCGTCGATCTTAAGGATCATACGCACCTGGAGATCGCATTTCAAGCCGCGGGAGTGAGTTTTCGCATCTGCGCAGTACTCTGCAGTTCGGCTCGGCACCGTTTCCGTGGCCATGTTCATGGCACTGGTCGACACCAACAACGGCTGCACCACATTCTCTTTGAACATGTTGCTGATGCAGCTTTTCCTGATGCCAGACACAACTGTAGTTACAATGCACCGAAGCAAGACACCTGCTTCTCGCTACAGTCTTGAAGTAATAATGTGGATAAATAAAGCAGCTGGAGAGATTCAGAATGCGGTGATACACTCTTTCCAAGCGTCTTCACGTTGATCCCGGCGAACTTCTCACCGTTGGCATGAGCGGCTCTAAGCTGTGTGACGATCTCCACGGGCTGCATCCCTGCATTCTCCGCAAGTGTGTAGGGAACCTTGCGGACTCGCAGCGCAGCGATCGCTTTTGCTTAGACCGCGACAAGTCGCCTGTTCCACAGTCCGGACGGTTATAAGGTTCTGTTTGATGGCAGCGAGTGCACAATGCGAGGCGGTTGACACACTTGCAGCCTCGCCTAAAAGCAAGTCTGCTTGCAATACCCGTGGAGAGTACCGCAGGAAATGCATAAATCCAACGAACATGTCATTGGATTCATTGGCCCCAATCGACTTCTGTATACTTTACTTTGCAGCACATCGATCGCCAGTCTGACACAGACCCTGTTCTTAGAATCTTAGATGTTCTTAGCAGAAACTGTTCTTGGATGTTCTTAGCTTCCAACCCTGCATGCTCCTGCCGTGTGTTCGCACTCTGCTTCACCCTTGTATCACTGGTCTGGCAGGTTCGGCCGCGAGACAAGCTCTAGCGCTTCAGCATAGTGCTCGATGCAAACCTGCGTGATGCCGCCCACCGTCCTGCGGCACGGAATGCAGAAGGCAGGCAGCTCTAAGCTTCACTCCCCACTCCGGGCTCATCCTGGCCCAGGCTTCCAGCTTCTGCGCCACCTCCATCTCGGGCGCCGCTCCACCGGCGATGAGCGCCTGCAAAAGAGAAGCGGAGCCATGAGCCGGAGACTCCGACTCTCAAACCTTTCTTTTTGGGCGAATCGCGAATTTTCCGGCCTTCTTCTTCACAAGACTCCGCACCACGCAGAGTGCATCGTGGATTGATCTGCAGACGCAGCTTGACTCTTCAAGCGGCGGATCTCTCTCGAGGAAGTCGCAATGCTTCGACAGAACCGCGAGCCTTTCTGTCTCATCCAGCAGCATTTGGTTGGATGCGCGGACCAGCACAGACACACAACCACCCTGCAGCGCCATGATCACGCATCACATCACCCGGAAAATCATCGAATGCTCTGACCACTTGGCTCCGGCGCATGCTGCCTTGGAAGTCTGCAGGCCGGTGAAGCGAACGATGCTGCCCAACCTGAGCTGCCACAAGTTGCAGAACGGATGGAGCCTTGGTGAGGTGCAGGAGATCGAGCGAGCGAGAGAGAGAGAGAGAGAGAGAGAGAGAGAGAGAGAGAGAGAGAGATGGATGACGGCAGAGGGCAGAGGGCATCATGACGTCTGCGCTTTCTTTGCAGCTGGAGTATGTCAATGTGAAGGTGCAACTATGTACCAAGTAGCTCTGTGCCCAAACTCTCCTCGTGGACAAGGCTGGCCTGCGTGGGGTTTGCACTTAACAATCGCAATGACAATCCTCCTTCCCAACTGCAATGCGTGACTCCCTGCTCGGTGTGGAACCTTCGCCAGCTTGTCCGGTGTAAAGGTGTCGAGCGTCGCCGCAGCCTTTCAGTGGATTCAATTTGGTTTGCGCATGTTTGAGAGGTATGCTTGCCCTGCTGGCGAAGCAAACACGTCGCACAGGCCCTCACACCGAACTCAACGAATGTCCTTCTCTGGGGGGTAACGGTGGGCGGGCGTCATCTTGGCATTGCTCAAAAGCTACAGTTACAGCCTGGCTCTGCCCATGGCCGGCATCTGGCCTCCACACCCAAAATTTTGGAGATGAACTCGATGTCATCTCGCTCAATGTCCTTGACAACCATGATCTTGGCCTCGCAGGACCAGCCCAGCACCGTCAACGCTTTTGGGCAGGGTCGGGCCGGTTTCCCGCCTTGGCACAAAAGTCCAATGAGAGGTCTGTGACGGCATCTCGCAAAATGGACTTCTGCACGAGCAAGACATTGCAGCCAGTTTTGGCGACTTGCTTCACCATCTTGGCCTCGGATCTGATGGCTCCGGCCATGCCCCCCCCCCAATCCCGGGAAGCCAAGATCTCAGCCAGCAGTGTTCTCTCCTCTCGCAGCAAACGATCCATCTGCGCATAGTCGCGGACCTGCCAGAAGGATGCCATATCATAAGATTGATTCCAACCCAAGTTGGCATTTGTACTTTGCCCACTGCGATGACATGCCCCGGCCTGAATGTTGCTCTCCATGTCTGTCTTTGGGGCCGAGAGGCAGAACTGGATCAGCCCGATCTTTGCGTCCTACGGCTAAGGCCAGTCTCGAAGGGTGTTTGATGACAGAGTCTCTGCCCCCTGCTCTGCTCTCAGAGCCCTGTCCTGCACTCTCGTGGGGCCTCCGGCAGACCTGGACCTCCGTCAACTTTCCAAAGCGGAGAGCGGACGGAGAGCGTTTCTCTGAGGGCCGCGGCGCTTTCTGAGAGAGGACCAAGCCTTCGACCAACTCGGTGTCGTCCGTGGTGGCCCCCAGCCTACAAAAGACTAGTGGAGTGAGCACAGAGCGAGAGACACTGACATGACTTGGCAGCCGCCAAGCAACTTCTTCACCAGTCTGATGTCGTTGAGGTCAACGTTTGTTGCCGACTTTGGGTCTGTCACCTTTATCATTACACACATCAGAAAGTCGCAGTGCAGTCATGTTAAAGCTTCGGATCGGTCTGCGGGCACCTTCAACACCGCGTCGACTGCGATCGGCGCTAGGGTTTCGGACTCCTGGGAGACAACCTGCAGTTCTCAAGTATTTGGTCAACAGCGCAGATCGGCGCAGCTAATCCGCGATTCAACTAATGCAGCTGCTCCAAAAATCCTTCCACAGTGGTCCTCTCTCTTGTCTTGGCGTTCCAGCAATCCAATCAATCAGCAACGCTACAATGTGCGATGAAGCCATGTGAAGCCCACCCACGGTGCCTTCGAATTTAGCGAGGTGATGGCGGCCTGGAGAATTTGCTCCCGGTCGGCCAAATCCTAGGAACGGGGGCATATGGCTCCACGTTCATCCCTGCTGCTACCCGCTGTCACGACTACCGGACTTGACCTTTCAGACGCAGGGCATGATGTCAAAGCACTTTCAGCTGGAGGTCCACCAAATAATCGTACGTAACCAGTTAACACATATTACTCCAATTGCACTCCAATTGGCAACTGGCTGCGCAACGGCATCGAGGACCTCCTCGGCCTATCAGCTCAGATAAGTGGCTGCGAATCCTAGACATTTCTGCTCTGAACATCTGACCTGCCGGATCAAACGACAAAGAAACACCTCCCAAAGTCCTCCCTAGAGACCCGATGCCTTGTGGGCTGCCTGAAGAAATGCCTGATCAGCAGCAAGCTTACGGGTTACACGGAAACAACCGACGCGAACTGCAGACATGAGTCAGCGCCTCTGTGATCGTCTGGGGATGAATTCCCTTCTTGAGCCTCAGTTGTCTCGGACTGCTCCGATGAAGTCGCTCCTCTGTCTGTTCACTTCAACTCGGGTCCGAACAGCCGCTCTGCTGCACCGAGCAAAGCTCCAGCAATGACGACGACGGAGGTGGTGCCGTCGCCAGCCTCGATGTCCTGAGACAGGAACAAGGGCAAAGGAGTCTGTCTGGCTGCCTGCAAGCTGGCTGCAAGCCTGCAAGCTTACCATACCCAGCTGCACAGTCTTCAACATTCAACTCTCGCTCCTGTGCTTTGGACAGCTCGGCCATCATCTTTGCAGTTGGATGCTGCAGCTTCAGCTTCCTAGCAATGGCAGCAACAAAGAGCTGCTTGGCGGACTTGCAAATTGCCATCAGTCAATCAAGTCGCGACAAGATGGTGGCACCGTCGTTTGAGATCAGCACCTCGCCTGAGCTTAGCTGAAGTCGCAGTAAGACAAAAGCAAATTGAAATCAACAGTTGGGCAATGTGTCCATGCAGCCACACTCGTCATGAAAGTTTTCATTCAGGCCATGTGCGAAGAAGATGATGCATGCATATCGGCCATGTGTGACTTCGCTCACCCAATTACCTGCGTGCCTTTTGGCTCCTGGATCATCTTGTCCATGCCCCGAGGTCCAAGCGAGGTCCTGCACAAAAAGCACTGCCCAAGCTGAAGGACTCAGGTGCTTCCGCTGCAACTTGGGAAGGAGGGGCTGGGACGAAAGCTAGACAGGGCAACTAGCAGCGGACTGCAGACTTGTAGGCGCAAAGAAGCAACCGGTAGTCGACCATCATGCATATTGCTGGGCTCCAATCAGAGCCACTAAGTCACTCAGTGAGCATCGTCAGCATCATTGGGCGCCCAATCGGAGCCGATGGGCGAGCGCATGAGCCTCATTGGGAGAGCGTTACAGCTGTTGTTGGTGCTTTTGATGTTGCTAGTCTGAGCAGGTAAACGAGCATCAAACGAGCATCGTGAGCATCGTTGGGGGCCACACAAAGTCGCTAAGCGCATATCGCCGGAATCGCAATCGCAGCCGCCAGGCAGCATGGTGCATCATGGGGGGGGGGGGGTGGGGTGGGGGGCCTCGTGTTTCCATTTAGAAGCAGTCACACTCCAGTTTCGGACACCCAAAAGCGGACCAGGAGTGGCAACGGCCAAATCCAGTTTCAGGTGGGGTCTGGCCCGGAAACCGTGCAAAAAATGCCCGCCTCCAGGGGGACCCTCCCCACACCCCTTGTTGCAACCTGCGAGAAACTCAGCTAGCCCCGGAGGCTAGCTTTCGTGGCAGCGCTGAAGCTCTTCGCGGCTCCTCACAGTGTCCGACACTGCCTTCGCGGCCAAGATGTTTGCCAAACGCACATCTTGCCTAGGCCACTCGCATTCATCCAAATTCTTCAGTGAAGTTCGTGTTCGCATGCGCGTTGCGGTGAACATGCTGTCTTTCGTCGTGGTTCCATAAGGCTTGGGCCCCTTTTCATCGTTGGCCTGGCGAGTCGCTGACCATAACATTGCAAAGCCGTTGCAAAGCTTGAGTCAAGTTTGCTGGCCTTTTGCCTCCCCTCGCTGGAAGGCCCGGTCATGGCGCCCCCCTCGCTACGACCGGCACTGAGTCTTGCAGCTGCGGTGAAGTCGAGGCTCGGGAGCGCTTTGGGGTGTCGCACTGTAGTGAGATGTAGTGAGCCCTTAAACTTAGTGCAAGATGCTTTGAGCCGCCTGCAATGTCTGAGGAGATGGCCAAGCGCCTGCAGTTCAAAGTTGTGGGCCGTTGTGGGGCTTCGAGGCGCTTCGAGGTGGGGAGCCGGCACCTGCACAGGTCTCGGCCACGGTCTGTGGACGCATCAACGGCCAGGGATCGCTTTCCCAGGTTACAGCCTTATTCAATACATTTTAACCAAACACCATCCTGTCATCCTGCACCAGCACTCAACCAAGCTGTCGCGAATCAGTGGCCGAGGCACAAGAGAAGTAGCTAGTCGCTTGCTGCGGGTTGTCTCCTCGCAGTCGCCATGACCGGGTCACGTCTCCACCGGTCCTGTGTGAAGCGTCAAGCATACCAGATCTTCGTCACACCTATTTTTCACCCATCTACAACTGGCCAGTGCTCGGAGCCGGGCTTGCGGTTTTCAACCTCACGTCAGAATACGCCAGAAGCCAGGCTCTTGCCCTTTTGCGGCCCACCTTGACAACATCGGCACCTAGTTCAGCCAGGAACTGGCCGACAGAAGGTCCAGCAAGCACCTGCAAAACCAACCGCAGGCTTTTGAACAATGAGCAGCTACCGCCTCTGCCGTTGGATGTTACCTTCTCGAGGCCAAAATACATTTGAGGCCTACAGACAACACCTCGATGCCACCTTGATTTGAGCTGCTGCGCTGATGGATGGCCGTGCGTTGTGACGCACTCTGAGTCCTATTGAGGCCTGTTACCCCTGGCTCACATTGCACTTGTACATTTTGGTGAGCTTCTGATCTGTGCGTAGCCTTTGCGCAGCTTGGCACTTTTGTGAGTTTTGCATCATGAGTTTCAGACGTTGTCGGTTTTTGGCTCGCACTGCACTTGTACACAATTGCGAGTGGACCGACCATGTGTGGTTTTGATGTAACCGCACATGTTTTGCTGTGGCAGTCACGAGCTGCTAGTGTGTACATGTCCGTTTCTGACTTGAACCTTGCTCTCGCCTACCGAGCACTGCCTTGGTTGTACGAGGAGGTTGATGGAGCAAGCAAACCATGGAATCAAAAACACATTCCGAGAGTCGGGCACTGGCGAGCTCCAGCACACGGACGCCTGCAACATTCTTGGGCATGTGGGCCAAAAACTCAAGAATCACCCAAGCCTCCGGAAGGTTTGTGTTTGAGCAGTCGACCCTGACGATTCTGTGGCAAGACCCCGCGACTTTGCCGAGCGCCGGCGATGGTTCATAAATTTAGACACACCCGACGTCATTGTGCTGCTTCTGCTTCTGCTGCCGTCGCTAACAGTTCTGTTGTCCGGACTATGGCTTTGCAGTTCTATGGGCCACCTTGTTTCGTTGAGAGCTATCCACAGCCCAGCAGCCAAGGCACAAGCTCAGTGCTGGATTCTCAAGCTGAGCGCAGCCGGCACAGAGAGTCTTCAATGAAGTGCAGTGCCGAAAGCTTCGAACAAGTCCTTCCTATGACCCTACGAGCACACGGTGGGTTCCTGCAAGGGCTGGTGCCGCGAGGGTCCTTGCGCCCGCGAAGTGTCTAGCAGAGCGCACTGCGCGAAGGCCTCCAGTTCAAAGCGCAACACTCACGCCCAGACATCACATGGAGTGCGCTAGGCTGCCCGCGAGCGAGATCCATGGCGAGATCCAATGCGCATGACGACTACATCGCAGAGCTAGCGTGTGCGGACTGCGTGTGCCCTCGTCACAGCATGTGTATGCATGCAACAGATATAGAAAACTATGTATATATATATATACACATACACAGGGAAAGAATTACTCACCTGGTAGGTATATCGGGAAATGGAGTTCAACGATTGAGAAAATACATAGCTAGTCCGTCAGTTAGTTGGCTAGTCAGTTAGTTCCTTCGTCAGTTAGTTGGTTCGCTCGTTCGCTCGCTCGTTCAGTCAGTCAGTCAGTCAGTCAGTCAGTCAGTCAGTCAGTCAGCCAGCCAGCCAGTCAGTCACTTACATAGTGAGGCAGTCGGCACATGTTAGCTAGTTAGTTCGTAAGTACGTGGTTGTGAGTTAGGTAGATCGCCCGCTCGTAAGTATCGGTAGTATTAGTTATTAGCACAAGCATCAGTAATATCTAGCATTAGCATTCGCTTTCGTATTCGCATTAGCATTGGTATTTGTGATAGTTCTGGTTGTGGGTTGTGTCAGCAATTTGTGCATGTGTCCGTGTCTGTGTCTGTATATGTGTGTGTGTGGCGTGCCTCGTATGTGCTGCATATGTATGTGGATGCGTATGTACGTATGTATGTATGTCCGTACATGCGTACGTATCTCTGTGTGTGTGTATATCAATGAATGAGTGATTCAATGAATGTATGTATGCATGCATGCGTGTGCATGTGTTTAGGCGTGTATGTGTGTATGTGTGATGTGACAATCATTACTCAGTGTACATATATCTAAAGTACTCTCACAATTTGCAAGGGCATCTCTAAGGTTTCCAATGCAGCATGGCTCTGAGCTCCGCTATACACCTGCAGCCAGCAAAAGCACGGACGACATGGCCCAAGATATGCATGCCAATGAGATTGAAATGAAGCCACCAATGCTAAACTGCCAGCTCACACATAGCCATGTCGGCAACATGCGAGAGAGGCACCAGTTGTCGCCGATTCCGGACTCCCTGAAGCATCAGGGTGTGCACAGTTGCATGCATTGCCGCATTGCAGCCAACTTGAGAACTAAGAGGGACAGCCACAAAGACATGCAGCCACCACGGTTCTTGAGAAACATCGTGGACTCCGAACTCGGCTTGCAGCACCGGGCGGAGTTGTGGTGGCCTTGCCATCAACGGCTCGTGCAGCGCCGGCACCTGAGCAGACAAATTGACAAACCATGTACCTGTAACGTGAAAGAAACAATCGGTGAAAGAGACTTTCCGCGGTGCGGAGTTGTGCGGCGTTCTCCATCACTTTGTCACTGTGTTTGATAGTTTATGGTGCTGACTGGAAATCCCAGCCTCCGTTCCCGGGGAGTCCGGGTCCGACTCAGAGTCAACCGTGAGCTCCTGCACACCGGAAGCCCAGATCGTCAATACGCGGCAGCACCTTGATCATAAAATCAGATAGTGTGATCAGAGGCGCAGCCGTTCGACCTATCAAGCTAGCAGCTAGACCTTTGTTGTGTTTTGCGAATACCGGCAAACTGAATGGCTCGATGATACCACAGTCCGCACACGGAAGGACAGACAAAGCAACAGCGGCTTCAGACATGACTCATGCAAGTCCTCTGGGAAGTCAGAGGTCGAACTGGCTCGTTGCAAGTCAGAGTACATGCGCAGGTCTCACTCGACTTGGCCGCTGCAGCTACATAATGCAAATGTGCCGGTGGTACATCGGGATGAGGCACGCTATCACAACAACTGGCGCGGAAGAAAGAGTGGCTCAAGGTGCAACGTCGCCAAAGCAAGGGACAGGCTCGAGCCTGTTGGCAGCCACTCGGAACAGAGCGCAAGCAGCAGGTCAACTCCGGTGGACCTGAGCCCAGGCGGCTCAGCGTTCGCACTCGCGCTCGCGGCGCAATTCTGAGTGGCTCTGCGGGGCAGCCATGGAGCTTCCCCAACCTCAGAAACTGAAGTCAGGTCTAAGTTTCAGGCTTTGGTCTCCAGGGCGCTCACCGAGCAGGCAGACCGCTCTGACCAGAAAGAGTGCCGGGCAGAATACCTCAGCCAATCTTCACCGCTGCTGCTCTGAAGCGTTTATTGGTCTTGTTCTCCCAAGTTGCGGAGACGACGCCCACTCTGGTGATGAGCATTCGCCTTGCCGAAGGCATACCACTAGAACACTCTGTGCCGGCTCAAGAAGTCATGCTCACGCCGATCATCTGGCAACCCATGCTTGACACGTTTCAATCCGCGCGTGTCTCTCGGTGCATTAATCGTTAATGTCTGCTGCATGCACTGGTCGAGGACATTGGTCTACCTACATCTATTAGTAAGATTTTGGACTACTCCCACATGTGTGCATGCTCGCTAGGAAGCCTACGTGACAATGAGCAGATCCATGCCACCATTGGTTGCAACGCTCTGCATAACAAGTAACGAATGCCGTGCAAAGGAACATGGATTCGGGATGATTCTAGTGTGTGCCACAGCTTGCAGCCACTTCCAGAATGCCCTGCTCAGCTCGTGCGAAACTGCCGAATTGCCGCAGGTCTCTGCCCGATTTTCAAAGCTTCGTGCCTTGTGACGAAATATTTCATGCAAGCAATGTGGCTCCAATCGTCCAGTTACCGAACCTCCACCCAAAGGAAACGAACGCCAACTGTGTTTGGTCTTGGTCGTCCTGTCCGTGGTGGCGCTACAAGCCTTTTGTCGGAATCTTTCACTAGCATGAAAGATCCTGCACTCAGCTGCATCTCCTTTGCTGCTCCCTCCTTGGCAATTCTCAACGAGCCATCAAGGACATGCAGTATGCCAGGACCATTGATGCCAACGGTGCAGGGCAGGGCGTCACCACGGTCTGGCAGAGCCAGAACTCGGCTTCTCAACCTGGATGTGCAAATGCCCACGAACTCACTGGCCTCCATGGCTTGCAGGGGTGCCTGGAGAGCAGGCAGCTGAAAATTCCGATTTGGCACTTGAGCCGACCTGGTCATGTCCACCTCGACAGCTACCACGCTTGGAGTCTGCGAGCTCGGGGTCCTCTCGTACACGACCCGCTCGTTGCGCCATGCCTGGAGTGGTGGCATTCGGCAGCGCTTTGGTAGTGGCCTCTTTGATGGTGACGGCTTCCAGCTCTCGAAAATGCTGGCAGGGATCTGCGTTAGTGCTGGCACCCGCAAGACTCCTCTCTGTCTCATTGGCTGGAGGGTGTTGGGCCTCTCAGTCTGTCGGGGATGTCGGGGCTTGACCCCTTTCTTCTTTGACGGCTTCCCTGGACCGCCTGGACCAGTGGAACCAGTGGAACGCGCCTGCTCCAGGACGCTGGCAAAGCTGCAGCGATTGGGCGAGTCTTGCCGAAGCTGCGGCAATTTCCGCTTCCGCACAGGAGGCTCGGGCCCTTTGTAAGCTCCGAGGCTTCGTGAGATTCGTGAGGCTTGTGGTGGTCGTGGAAGCGGGCTCGGTGTCTGAGGAGGCAAACCCTTCAATCGCAGGCTCCGCCTCGGAGTCGTCGGAGCATCTGAAGGTCCCTTCGTCTTACTTCGTAGCCTCTTCGTCACCGAAGTTGCTTGCAGATCTTCGAGTACAGCTCTGCTGCTGCATGGCGCCACCACATCGCTTGGGTCAGACACGGGCAACGCAGATGTGTCAGCTCGTTCACGCGGCGATGCTTCGACGTCACCAAGTCGCGCTCCGCCTTTGCAAGTCGCTGAGCTGGCCTGGATCCCGGAGCCCGGGAGTGCGAGAGGAGACTTTGCCTCTGCCACGCTCGGTTCCGGGGGGACTGCAGGACTTTCTGAGGAATCTGTGTGCTGCCCATCCCTTGCTTCAGCTTGCAACCCGGAAGGCTGCGACTTCCGGAATGAAGAGAACAGCGCTTCAGACAATCTGGATGCCATGGACATGCTCAGCGACGGAGCAAGCCCGGCCCGGACCATGGCCAAGCTACAGGAGCTGTACTAGAGACTGTTGCACCGTCGTGACGGCAAAGCAATCGCACACACGCAAACTCACTGCAGAGCTTGAAGAATCCAACACCAAGGGCTCCACACAGGAGGGTCTTTTCGGCAAATCTCAGCGAGCTGCGTCACGACCTGAAATTAGGGCTGATGGTTCTTGCATCGTGAGGGCTATCTGCCAAGGAAAATGGAGTGCACGAGAAGCCCGGAAGTTTCAGGCACGCGGCCATCATCCCGTAGTACAGCATTGACCATGCCAGTATGACCTCCAAGTTCTGAAAGCATGTACTCCCTTGTGCAGCATGCACACAGCTGCTAGGCCCGGCACATAGAGGAAGCCAATGATGCACGAAAGGTATGCTCGGAGGTGGTGATACCTTTGAAAGAGCCATGCGCGAACCTAGTAGACATGCTTGGAGACTGAGCGCCCGACGCACACAGCAAATACGTGCAAACAGCAACGGCCACCACCTCGGCAAAACTCTCGGTCATCATCCAAAGTCTTTTGCGACAGTCCCGGTGCAAACCATCGAAAGAATCAGCTGAGGGTCTCGGCTAGAAAGTAGCACGCAATATTGACGCACACCTCAGGAGCTGCAGTATAGGGTCGGGCTAGTTTCCCGGGCTTGCCTGTGTCTTTCGAGCATGACATTACGGCAGGCCGGGAATGGGACGGAATGGGAAAGCAGCGGCTCTGGAGCTCATAACTTACGCATTCAAGCTGCGGGATTTATCGAAGCCGCCTTAAACGCTGGACAGAGAAGCGACTCAACAAACTACCCAGATTGTTGGGTTCCGACCACCAGGCAGTCCAACAGCGGAAGTGGAACCACGTTGATGGCGTAGTGGAGCTTGCCGCAGGTGCATGTATTCTGCTTAAGCTGGTCCTGGGGCCTGTAGTTACTGGAAGTGCAAGTGCCTGGGCGAAGAAAGAGACGACTATAGAGAAAGCCTCATGCATGGCTTCACTTGGCCTTTCTATAAGAGCCGCACAAAGCTTCGTGGTAAGGCCAGGACGGAGAGATACACCACTGTTGGAAATAGAGAGATTAAGTCCCACAGCCACCTCATGGCAACATTGGACGGGTTGGGACTGACTCCCGCACCGAGACATGCGGATGCGAATCCACCGCAGAGCAAAAAAGAAAGACAGCGCGCCAGCCAAAGCTGAGTGGGTCGACTGCATCTGGGTCGGACCCAGCTGTTGTAGCAGATCGGTCAAACGTCCTTCCTGCACACTGCCGCCACACTCTGTTCCACTTCATGCACTTTATCTGCACTTTATGTCCAACCACTGGTGGCTCGAATGCTGCCGATCCCGGTCCCGGTTCTCGATCTCCAAGAACAAGCTGAAACCTGATGTGGAGAGTCTTGGCACTTTTCAGACTTTTCGTCTCCATGTGATGCACAGAAAGCGAAGACAGACGATTGACAGAAGGTTTGGGTGGCTCAGGTTTCGGCAGCGCACAGCATTGGCGATGCAAAGGCCGAGCGCCAATTGTCGCCGACTCCTCCTGGAAGGTCGAAAGGAGCGGGCAAAGCTCAGAGTGGGTTTTCGTGGGCCCCGACATTCCAGGCAGCATGGCACGTCTTGTGGCCGAAGCTCCGGAGGTCGACCTCCCCATCCCTCCCAACTCTATCCTCTCTCCCTGCGCCCTGCGCACGTCAAGCTGTCACAGCCAGCCTGGGTCTCTTCGGGATCCTTAATCCCACTCTCGCCATGCTGCTGACAGCTCCATACCGTGGCTTAGGCTTAGACCCGCGAATGCACACAAGATCACACAAGCACACAAGGATTCGGGATGGCGCAGAAGTACGCCGCCGATGCCAGCGGCTGCATAGAGCAGGAAGCACGCCTTTGCACAAAAATCGCACAAACATCTCTGCACGAACAGCACAATCCGAATCTCAGCAGATTAGTTGCGACAAAGCGTTGCTCGCACTTTTTGGCGTGTCCTACTTCGTAATTCGTGCAGCACCAAGGTTTTGACCCACTCCACGTTCAGCAACATTTGCCTGCAAGGCAAAGGGCAGATTCAGCACACCCGTTTTTGCTTGTGTTGCACGCGATGCCTGTCGTCGATCCAGACCGGCTCCCGTTGGAACCAGCCTGACACGTTGAGAAACTCCGCAACTACCCCAGCAAATGCGGAATCGCATGTTTTGCAGAGTCTTTTCTCTGCACAGACACTGCCTGTTGTGCTTGCCGGCATGGAGACATCATGAGCCTGCAGACGCTCATGGATAGTAAACCTCGACTTCCTGATTCCTCATGATGCCGTCCTGCAATCTGCAGTGCTCTTACTGTTGGAGGATAGACATCTCAACTTGCAGAGTGGGGTATCGTCATGCGAAAGCAGGCATATCTGCAACCGCAGCTTTACAGCATGTTTGACGTTACGACCTGCTCTTCCTGCAGCACGGAGTCACGCAAAGCTTCCGCCCCTGCACTCCCAGCCATGCAAAGTGGCAATTCCTTTCAAGTCCGCTAGTTCAAACAAACACGAGTGCAGAGCGGCTAAACCAAAGGCCTCACACACCACCAGCGCGAATGCCGCACTCCAACTACAGCAAAGCAGGTGCCTCCGGCAAATCCATAAAGGCCGGCCCTGAGAATTCTACGCAATGCTGCTACTTTCTGTCCGTCTGAATCCGCTTTCTGGCCCATCTCCTGGATGGTCATGCTTCGATCTGCACCGTCCACGGTACGACCACACCCCGTGCTGTCTATGCATACAGTTGCCGATATGTCTGCTCAACATATCTGCGTAAGCTTGCGGCTTGGCAAATTCGCATTCGACAAGCTCGAACCGCTCAGAAGCCCAACATACGCCGCTCTTGAAGTGGCATGGCAGAACTCCGCCCGTTGCGGCAGACTGTGCAGGAACCGACGCTGTCTCCACCAAGTGCAACAACTGAAAACCTGCATCTCAAAAGGGCCGTGTGAACCAACACATTCGGAGCGAGGACGGGGGTGTGACATGTGTGACACACCTGCAATTCTAGAGCCGTCGAAATGCCGAAACTGCCAAGGGACAACAATCAGATAGCACTGATGCATAAGCTTTTGAATTTTTGCCTGAATCACCTGGCACTCGAAAACAATTCATCTTCTCATTCCTACTCTTGTCTTAATGTAGTACGATAGGTGGTGCTTTCAGCATGCACCAGCTTAATGCCAACATCCGCACAGGGAGGGATTGGGTGCCGCTGCCGCTACCGTTCTGCCGCTGCCGTCGCCACTGCTGCTATTACTGCCCATACAGCACACAATCGGCCTGCCCACTACTTTCAGGTTCTACTGTATTCATCCCGCATCGCACGCATGGCAGTATTGATCGTTCTTGTTCGCAGCTTACGAGAAGCTTGTGACGTTCAGGGCCGAGCACCCAATAAGCGGTCAGCCCTGTGAAAGCTTTACATTTGACTCAAGCATGACGAGCTTGCCGAAGTAAGTGGATGATTTCTAGCTGTGGAACGGCACTCTTTAACCAGCACATTGTACATACCATTTAATCATTCTGCTATGCTGAGACATCCGAGGCCGTGAAGCCAAACCAGAAACAGGAATCTGGGAATCTCGAACGGGTACTTTTAAAGTTCGTACCCGTGTGGCAGACTCCGTCGCAGCTTCTCAGCTTCCTTCGTGCATCTGCTCCTCCTCTAGCTCAGCTAGCAGTCGGTTGTTCCTGCCATGGTAGAGTAGGGCTGGCAGTAAGCAGCCGACACCAGCAACGGAGATCTCAAAGACGCTATAAGCCGAGCCCCACGAGGCACAGGTATCTCCCTGACTGGTAAGGACGCTTTGAGATAATGGGATAAAGAACACCTGGAGCAATATGGCAGAATTGAAAAGCAGCGCTGTGGTGATGTCAGCAGGAGTTGGGTACGTCTCTTCCACCGCGTTTGACAACAAGGCCGGCAAAGCGCTCATCATGAAAGTGCCGAAGAAGGTTGTGGTGATCAAGAGCCCACGCAAGTTGCCGGGACGAAGCATAACAAGAAACACTAGTCCAAACATGACTGCGGAAATGATCGAACATCGGAGGATTGTGCGGTAGGCTCGAGTTGCTCCCAGGAGCGAACCTGTCGCGAGTGAGCCAACGACTCCCCCAACCATGAACATACCACTTGCAATGCCAGCTTCCGTGGAGGTGTAGCCACAGTTGCTTGCAATCTTTCCAAACAAGGTCAGCGTCGCAGCTGCCAAGGCCATGCCACAGTTGAAGATAATTAGAATCAAACAGAAATTGAGCCGGCGCATTAACTTCCAACCTTCCTTGAAAGTCTCGCTGCGGATTTCCTGCGAGCTCTCCCCCGGAGCATCGACGAACTGCCCAATGGTCCATAGAGCCATGAGAGCGCTCAATGAGGCTTGGCCTGCTAAGAGCTGCTCCGTGCCCTCCTTGTCGCCAAAAAGAGCTAGGTCTAGTGCCCAGTCTGGAGGATTCAGGATTGGGGATGGACTTAGGAATCAAGGTTTGGGATTGAGGATTCACTGCCAAAACAAAACAGTGTTTAGGATTGGGGGTCCGCTTCATAGCCAGTGACAACGAAGCCAGCAATGGCGGATCCAAGCCTAGGCAAGGGCCGTTGATAGGAAGTTGGGGGACTACATTGCTGTAGGTCTTGACACGACTGTGCAGCTTGCTGCGGTTCTATCCCAAGAACTGGAATGAACTGGAGAAAGATGTGGGTGGCCTTTCGCTGGAGTTAAGGCTTCATCATGTTTCATCCCAACCCTGTGGTGCAGCATAGCACCATTACATAGCCTTGACTGGTGCCCAGGCCTCTGAGGACCTGACCCTTGTCCAAAGATCGGGCTCAATGCACCCACTGCCAGCACCCCTTCACGCTCACGCCGGCCAAACCAGGCGTTTGCAAAAACTGCGGGTGTGTTCATGATGAGCGGGGATGCCAGTGCTGCAACACCTTGGCCGATGAAGAGAAACAGGAAGGCGAAGGGACCCGACCAGCGCCGAAAGGCTGCGTCCGCTAAAAAGCGTATGAGGCTACCCAGCAGCTGTAGCCAGCAGGCGAATTTGATAACTCTGGCAAGTCCAGAGCTTCTAAGGATTGCCGTACAGATCCATGAGCCAGGTACATACACGGCATTGCAAAGCACCGCTAACGACGCGACGTACTGTTCCGGAATGTCGTATCTTCTGGCTGTTGCATCTGGAATCGCAGCAAAGGTAAGCCACAGGGTCTGATTCAAGATGCCGAGGGCCATGTAAATGCAGAGCATATGCCATCTTCGAGAGTCAAGCACTCGAGATCTCTCTCTGCTCAAAGTGCTCGCCGGGCTGCTCTCCTCCACACGGCTCGGCCGAAGCATGACCGTCGACTCCACATCTGTACATCTTCTTTGCAAAACAGCTGCGGATGGTGGCACATCTCCTCTCTTGTATGCTGTCAGACACATACACACACCACTTCCCGCTCCAAAGTGGGCAATCAAAACATTTTGGAACGCGAGCATGTGTCGTACGGTATGGTGATGTGAGAGCGGGGATGAAAATTGCTGTGTGTGGCTGGCCCCATTGTCCACGCAACATTATGAGCATGGTGTTGCTTGCGAGGGTTGCAGCGTCCACACCCTTGCAGAAGCAGCACATTGAAGACAAACTCCGTGGAAGGGCTACCACTCACAAGCTTCATGCGCAATGCCCAGAGAACTAAGGTGCATCGGTTATCAAATGACCAAACCTCCAAAATACTAAAGAGAATCCAGGCTTCTAGCTACTACCCGTCACCACAGTCCGGGCCATTGTCGATTCAAGCGCAGAGCATCTTGCGGCAACATCTTGCGGCATGAGCGACATGCTCATGCCAAGGAATAAAAGAACAGCTCTCACTCGGTTGACACGCTCTTGAGGTCCAGATACCGCCGCTTTCTTCGAGCCTTGAATCCCGAGACATTAGCAGCAAAGAGCGACTTGAAACGGCGCAAGAGCCAGCCTCGATCCTCTTCATCTCTTCCACATACTCTTTGGGCGGCCGAGCACCTCCCCATTTGATCTCCTCGTAGCTTCCCAGCTCGTCACCTCGGACGCATGTTCAGACACGATGGTTTCGTTAAACCCCACACTTCACCTGCCCCTGCGAAAGGCAACTGGGAAATCTGTCCCGAGTCCGGCACTGAACATTAGCCTCCAAACCTGGAAGGCGCCAAAAGCAGCGACTGCCAAGAAGAGACCCATCATGGATACCGCGAAGGTCCAGCCATCAATGGGCTCGCTCATGAACGGCAGCTGGATAGGCACTGGGCCGACCTATCAAAGATGAACCGCTCTGAAACCTGTTGTGGCAGCGGACAAAGGTGGAACCGGGCCTTCATAGCCACCTGGGACCGTGGTGTCGCAGGCGCATTGGTACGGCCATTGCCGCAAACAAAGGCCACGCCGAAATATGTGCCCAGATACAAGCCCAGCAGTGAAAGGCCCAGGCCTCAGCTCTGAAAGGGGCCTTGCGACCTCGACTCACCGACACTTTTTGCACATTCCAGTACACTCCGTTTCGATTCCATGACCTTCCACTACTACCGCATGTCGTTCTGTCATTATATTCTCCGCATGTTCAGCCACCAGGCCTGCCAACCTTGATTTTCCTCGAGTGACCATGGCTTGCTTGTGGAGAACAGATGCGGATCTCTCTAAAAATCACAAAGACAGTTCAGGGGTAGCCTGTGCTGGAAAGCAGGTGCCAGCTAAAACTCGAATTGTCTAGCTCACCTGCTAGGAGGAGCCAAAGCCGAAAAGGCTCAACAGCATTGTGGGCCATGAGCGCAGTGTGCATCTCGATAACCATGCCATGACCAAATCATCTTTTTGCTGTTATTTTATGCGGGAGCTTTGGCACCAGAACCGTGCCCTGTACAGCGGTTGTTCCACGTCGGTCTATTCATTTTCTCCGTGAATGTTGACGGAGCTATTTAGAGTCAGTATTGAGCTGGTCGCGTCATCCATCAACTTCTGAGAGAAAGCAGCTGGCAGCACTTACTGTTCAAGCACGTGCGCAAAAGTTTATTCATGGACTTCAGGGCCTCGGGGCAGCAGAAACGAGACAGGTGAGACAATGGGAAGTGGCAGGTACTACCATTCCTCGTCGCCACCGCCGAACCTGGCCAGAAATGTCTACACATGGCATCGACGATCAGCAGTCAAATCACACAGGCGCACCATCCGCCCCCACCACCATCGCTATTGTCCTCGCCACCTGACCAACACCATGTTGTAAGCTCGGCAGTGTATCGCCTTCATGCTAGAATGTGAACTTCATGTCCTCTCCATACCTGAAACCATTGCAGCAGCTCAAACTGCATGGTCCGACTGCAGCTGCTTGAATGAGAAACTGCGCACATTTGCATCCACAAGCTGCCAGACTGCTGCGCGCCTCCTCCAAACCTGTCACACGGGATATTCTGAACGGGCCATCATGTCGGTAATCTTCGCAGACAACTTGGATTCCTAGGATGAGGAGTTGAGAGCCTGGGGGCCCATGGCACCATGTGCCCACTTGTGCGAAAGAAAGCAAAGCCACTGCTGCCAGCAGACTAGCTTTCTCTTCTTTGCATAGCCACAGACACCGGACAAATCCTGACGAAATACTGCATCAGTCTCGAAAACAGTAACATCCCAGATTGCGCGGAGCAGAACTGTGGTGGATCTGCCAACCTGGTCGCAGGACTGACCTAGCACCGAGGTCGAAGGTGAACCCCCCCATCCAAGACGGCACCGAGAAGGTGAGTAATTACTAACGACCTAGCATCGAGAAGCCCCAGCGCCCAAAATATTCAGCAAATATGATGGAGCGGCCATCCGCCACCTTCCTCACCGTTGCCTCAGCGAGAAAAACATGCCACATCTCGTATTTTTAGAAAGACAACTACATTGTACAAGGATTTAGCGGTCAGACAGGCAAGATATACTGCCTTCCTGTTCAGTTCACCTGCTGCGTTTGCGCCTGTGCACGTGCGGCTACCCCAAGGATTACGGTGGTTACGGCTACTTTGGGATACTTAAGTTATGTTTCGGGCAACTCTCGTTGTCCCTCCCTGTAACTCTGTAGCAACCACCCAGGAACTCGAGAGCACTTCGCCGAGAACACGATTGAAAGCAGGACTGCAGGGAGAAAAACGGTAAGGCCCGTATCACAATGGCGGGAGACGCCTGGAACACCGGTAACTGCAACAGTAGACTCAGCAGATGGGAGGCGGCAGAGAAGAGGCCATGGTACACCAGGCGTGAGTGGCTTGCTTATCGGCTCTTGAGGCCACTACAACGCTTTTCCATTGAATCGGTTGAGTTTGCACCGACGGCCGTATGGCAGACTGCTGCCGTACTGTAATCTGCAGCAGCCACCCATCCATCCTCTTCTCAATCTGCATTGCCTCTCAGGCTCCTACTGGAGCCAGAATCGCCCCAGGACCACCCTGAACGAGCGAGGGCAGGGACCGGCATCCAATGTTTGACGATCAACTAGTAGCTTGAAACTGTGCACATCGAGGCAGGCCTCCCGAGTCCCCTGCAGATCCTGGAGGAGGAGGTGATGCGGCCTTTGAAAAAGCATGCTGGGTGACCAGGAGCAGATGCAGCTGCACTACTGCAGAGATCTTCTGAGAGCATTCGCCATTACTACTTGGCAGCGTGGTCGTGACAAGAAAGCTGTTTTAAGTCTCTGCTTTGCCCCAAGCCAAGTCCTGGAATACCACTGCAAGTGCTTCGTGGCAGTATGCCGAGCTGACGACATCACCGCCGGACGGCGACGGGGCCGAGCCTCCATCCTCATTCCTCTTCGCAATCAATGAGAAGACCAAAAACAACCCCCAACAGGCTTCTAGAACATGAACGTGTTCGCGTGCATACAAACCAAGAAGCAAACAACATAAAACAAAAGAAACCCTAACGTACTTACTCACTTACTCGCTGACTTCATTACTACTTGCTTGCCTGCATGCATGCATGCATACATACATACATACATACAAACTTGCATACATACTTACCTATTTAAATACATAGATGAATACCTACATTTACATCAACCTGCTTATCGATTTAATAACTCATTGGTTCATGTATGCTTGCTTTACATGTAAGTAAGCAAGTAAGTAAGTATGTATGTATTTTTGTATGTATGTACGTATGTATGTACGTATGTATGTACGTATGTATGTACGTATGTATGCATGGATGGATGTATGTATGTATGTACGTATGTACATATGTACGTATGTACGCACGTATGTA